AGCGGGAATTGGGGTGGGCACACGGGGTCGAGCTTCCTTTTTTTTTTTTTTTTTTTACAAACAGGAAACAACAGTTTAGTCTACCTTCAACGTCACAGTAATCTTCTAAAAAAATAAGGACTTTGTAATAATCTACATCTGAATGTCATGGTTCATACTTGTGTCTGATCCACAGGTCTCTCCATTTCTATAGGTGGCATTGCTTTAACATACCACTAGATGGCACTGTTTACACTATGGCTGTTCAGTTGACTCTTTATATATTAGAAAGATATATAGAGATAGATAGATTAGAAAGATATATAGAGATAGATAGATAGATTAGAAAGATATATAGAGATAGATAGATTAGAAAGATATATAGAGATAGATTAGAAAGATAGATATAGATATATATTAGATAGATAGATATATATTAGATAGATAGATATATATTAGATAGATAGATATATATTAGATAGATAGATATATATTAGATAGATAGATATATATTAGATAGATAGATATATATTAGACAGATAGATATATAGACAGATATATATTAGATAGATAGATATATATTAGACAGATATATATTAGATAGACATATATTAGATAGACATATATTAGATAGACAGATATATATTAGATAGACAGATATATATTAGATAGACAGATATACATTAGATATAATAGACATACATTAGATATAATTGACATACATTAGATATAATTGACATACATACATACATACATTTTATACGAGCTTTGCCTGCTCTGTTTGAGGCCTAACAACAATTATAACTGATGTCTTTGTTGGCAAAGAAACAAACACGTGAGTCAAGCTAAAAGCTGAGGATTCAATGAGGTTCTCTAGAACTGCTGAACTACAAGCAGGACACTTTAGATTGATGCCTTCATAACAGCCTGGGCACGCCGGTGTTACCTTTCTGCCAGGCTTTTCCGTGCCAGTCTGTGAGCGTGATCCTGCCTGCGGGGGGGTCGAGGCCCTCCCACCACACTCCTCCATCGCTGGTCTCGCCAACGTTGGTGAACACGGTGTTTTTGGCGATGGTGGCCATGGCGTAGGGGTTGGTCTTGTCTGAGGTGCCGGGAGCCACACCGAAGAAACCGTTCTCCGGGTTGATGGCTCTCAGTTTCCCTGCAGAGACACACACACACACACACGGGTAACGTGAGCATTCAGAGATTCGCCACCTATGCGAGTGATTCAATGCGCACGGGACATCCTCCTCCCCCTCTCACCTTGGCCGTCGAACTTCATCCACGCAATGTCGTCGCCCACACACTCAACCTTCCAGCCTGGCAGAGATGGTTTCATCATGGCCAAGTTGGTTTTACCACAGGCGCTGGGGAAGGCCGCCGCGACGTAACGCTTCACTCCCTGAGGGTTGGTGATACCCAGAATCTGAGAGGGGGGAGAAAGAAAGAGAGAGAGAGATAACAGTAATCATTCAATACTGGCCAAAGTTATATTAATGACCAAAAGTAAATCCCATCACAGGAAGAGATGTTGATACTAGCCTGCAGATACTTTTTGTTGGGACCAACAATTTAATTTTCACACTTTATCCTATAAATAACTTCAAAAAGGCCTAATCTGTTATTTATTATTAAATTTTTTCCTCGTATGTTTGCATATAATTTGATTGATCAATCAAAAGCATGTTTTTTTTTTTATTTTTTAACTGCGTTCATAAAGCTGACTGACACATGTTACAGCATGAATCTCTATTCCTTACATAAATTAGATCGTCACACTTTTATTACAGAAACAAACGAGCATCTTTTTAATTCCTCTCCTCTGGAGAGTAATGTGTGAGGCATGAGGCGCAGGCTTTAGGCAGCAATGTATCACACGCACCAGCATGTGTTCGGCCAGCCAGCCTTCGTCCTTGGCGATGCGCGAGGCGATGCGGAGGGCGAAGCACTTCTTCCCCAGGAGAGAGTTCCCTCCGTAGCCACTGCCGAAGGACATGATCTGCCTGGAGTCTGGCAGGTGAGATATCAGCACCTTCTCCGGGTTACAGGGCCACGAGTTGACCAGAGGGGCTGGAAAGAGGGGGAAATACCAGAGTGGGGGAATTTGTAAGATCTTGCAAGTTTCAAGCAATAAGACGCACTTAAACGACTTGTTTCATGCTCTTAGAATGCGTACCTTTGAGTGGTAAAGGCCGTCCCAGAGAGTGCTGACAGCGGACAAACTCCGCCCCTTCAGACAGTTTGTTCAGCACAGGTGTGCCCATACGAGTCATGATCCCCATACTGGCCACGACGTATGGCGAGTCGGTCACCTTCAAGCAGAACAAAATGTTTCATCACCCTGATCCACAACCTGCAACATTCAGTAAATAATAAAACTATAAAGTGCTACAGTAATATATTAGAATATACAGCGGAACAAATTACTATAACAAATCACGGCAATTTATAGCAACAGAGCAAGTCATTTTTAGAGCTACAACACGGCAGGCTTATTGCTTTATTACATGCCGCCGCCCCCCCCCCAGTATAAAGTGTGGAGGAGTCGGGTCAGTACCTGGACTCCATATTTAGATAGAGCCGAGCCTACAGGACCCATACAGAAGGGAATCACATACATGGTCCGGCCTGCAGAGAGGACACAAAGGAGCGAGAACAACACTTTAGTGCAGTTTATTTTCCCACTACAGGCAGCAGTGTATCGATAGACACATGTTGATACGGTGGTTATATTAGGCAAGAGATATCAGGACCTTTTCTTCAGCAGCACCCTGTGGAGTTTATGACCACTAGTAGCATTATGGAACAATGTTTTCAACGAGCGGGTCCCCGTTTTGTTTGTAACATGCACCAAGACACGGTGAACATGGGGGTAAACATGCAAAAAAATGCAGCAATATACCAACAATGGCAGGGAGGAAGAAGAAGACTGGATGTAAACAACACCAAGGATTCACACTCTTTCTCATCTCTGTCAAGAGGTGCACAGGCAGGATGTACGGATCGGGCAGCGAGTGACACGTGAGCTGATAAAGGAACACACCAATCTCCGATCCAGCATTTTGGGCGGTTTCCGATAATGGTATCGGAGCAACTCTAATTCCCACGTGTTCAGATTCAATTATTACCACTCAAAACTTTACAAGTTTGAAAGGGAAGTTGAAAACGCACACCTTATGACAACAAGGGACATAACATGTTGTTTCCATGCACCACTGTACCTGCCATGCAGCCCGGGAAGCGCTCCTTTCTGGCTGTCTGCCAGTCAGACTCGCTCATCCAGCTGCCCAGCTGGCTCTTCGCCCCCCCGGCAGGGATGGGGATGGTGTCCCTCTGGCTCTTGGTCACAATCACAGTCTTGCTTTCCACCCGAGCCACGTCCTTTGGGTCTGTGCGTGCCAACCAACTGCAAAAACAGAGGCGGAATCAAAGTGCGATGCAAAAGAACGTAAATGCACGCCACTGAACGCATGTAATTTGGGACACAGAATTTTAAAAGCCCTTACCAGTTCTCGTATTTGGACAGCCTTTTGACCATCCCCTCGTTCTCCAGACCGGCCAGGATGTTGGCCGCTTCCTCCGGCGTCCCCGTCACCACATGCACACCGGTGGGCTTACACTCATCCACCGCTCTCTTCACAAACTCGGCCACCGCCGGGGGCAGCGAGGCGATGGAGGCCAGAGACCGAACCCCGACTCTCGCCCCGACGCCGCCACGTCTGAAAGAGATCGGGCATTTAGGTAATTCGTTACTTCTTTTTTGGGACCTTTACTTGTGACTTAGGGACGTTCCAACCACGCCGATGGAGCGTACAGTTTAATCCTATACATAAAATATATATCGTGCCATGTTTTGAGATGATGAGAACATGAACAGCAGCACTTAGTGGACTTCCCATGTGTAGGACATTGGTGTCAACAGCTCTCTGGCTCAGGTGAAGACACTCTGTTTAGCAGGTTAAGACAAGTTCCGTCTCTTACGAGGTTAAATTTGCTCCAGATATAATTTTGTCTGCCTTTTTCTTTTTACTTACAGATCTCGTGTTGGAAGAGCCTGAGGTAGCACGAACACTTTAAACCATGCCCAAACTGGAGTTGTGTTTTTTTCATGCGACAGCAGTAATAGCAAGATGCCCTTTGGTGCAGTTACTAGTGCAACCTGAGAGCCTCGAACAGACTTCTCCACATATAGAGGGGGGCATGCCGGGGGGGCCGGGGCCCATGATATTCACTAACACCGGTCACTGAGAGGGCAGTGGATATGCAAGCTGTTAAAAAAAACACAAGCCTGCGTGTGTGTGCGTTTCCTGTCTGTCCATATTAGAAAACAAAGCACACACACACACCCATTGTCTGTCTGTGGACAATGTGGAGGACCCCGAGTGACCTCTTTAAAAATGTGAAAAATACAAAAATTCGTAAACCTGTATCCTCAAATGAGAAGCCCTGCAAATAAGCATTTGAGCCAAAACTATTTTCACCCATAAACAGTCCCACATCAATGGCTTGCTCTACTGGGAATACAAATCACACTCTTCTACTTTGTTGTTTCAGACAATGGGGTGGTCCCGTCAAGTGCAGCCACGCGGCTCCCAATTGGCTGCACCGAGCGCTCCATTATGTGCGCATCACGCGCACACAGACATGCTTCGGCTTGTGCATGCAGACATATAAGTAAATCTGGTTGGAGCGCACAAAAGGGGGCACGGGCAGCAGGAACACAGAGAGACAATAACACGCAGCTCTGACAGGGCAAAGAGCGGAGAGCCGTCTAATGCAACCGCAGGGTTCAAACTCCTGAACAAGTGACCTGTGCCGCGTTTAATTATTGATGCGGGAGCGATCAATCATGAACAGACTCCAGTTTGTGTTGAACACACTTTTTGCATGCAGTTTAAGGTCAGTTTTCATACTGAAGAGGGTATTGTCTTCCTGTTCGCCCACCAAAGTTCAGGTGACAGACAATCCGAATTAAACAAACGATGAAGTTCAAAAAAAAATCTGCATTTTTATTTTAATTTCACAGTTATTATCCTCCTTAAAAGACGCTAGAATTGAGCATCAGTCAAATATAAGAAAGTAAAGTACTGTGCCCTCTGTTGTAAAGAGGGAATTAGAAACATGGCTGATGTGTGGCAGACAACTGACAGTTTTCAGAGGATCTTTCGGGTTTTTGACCACGATCTGAACAGAAGAATGATTCGCTGAAGGGGATATAAAAAGAACATTAGAGTTACTGTTCATTCATCTCAGCAGCCTTGATCGCCAAAAAAATAAAAAGGCACGTTGTCAGTAAAAAAGGATGAATCAGTCTCCTTTAAAACAGCTCCACAGGACGTCTCTTCCCCCCAAATCAATTACCTAGGCCTCCAATAATCCCCTCTATGGTGCCACCAATTACTGTAACCATTTGGTTGGAGCTGAATATTAACATATTAACTTCAACTTTTGTTGATTATTCATTCTGCTGAAGCACGGCCGGCACAAGAGATAAAAGGTAAAATGCAGCGAGACGGGATTAGAAACTTTGTCGAGATGCTTTTTTTTTAGACTCATGACTTGTGCTCCTGGTTCATCCCCAACACGTTCATCCTCCTCTCAAGCTTGTGTCTCCCCGTTCCTCAACCCATCCCCCATACCTGATGAGAACAAGCAGGCCTGCGTTTTATAGATGTAACATAGATCCATCCTTCATACTTAGATCTGGTATCCATTTTTTTTTTTGTCTGCCTCTAGCTTCCAGCTGGGCAACTCTTCCGCCATACACACCTCCAAATCCACAGGCCAATCCTCACTCAACACAACCCGACACGCCCACACTCCCTTCCGGTCAACAGCCGCCTTTTCTTTAGGGCAGAGTCTGCAGAAGATCCAGCAGCAAACCCGGAGTACCACTTAAAGCATGCACGCGTGCGCAATACTTCACACATGGTACAGCGAGTACCCGGAGCAAAAAATAAACCACACACGGAACATACTCCAGGACATTCAGGCGAATAAGAGGAGTGACGACTATAAATATTGACATGCACTAACACGGGGTCAGTGTCTCGCTCACATGCATCTTTAGTGACACAATAACAGCAACCACACGATGCCATGGGGGGCTCACATTGACTCCAGAGTCCCTGTGTGATGGGGTCTCATCAGAAAGCCTGGGGGGGGGGGGGGATGAAGAATGCAGAAAGACGGACTTCTTTTTTCCAAAATCAGAAACAACTGTGGAGTAACGTTGTGTGTAGTTAAGCTACAAGTCCTTGCTCAGTCTCATCCGGCCTGAGGTTTGTGTCTGAGACCAAGTTGGACAAGTTTCAGACAGCAGACAGCGAATGAGGATTTAAGGATCCAGGTCTCATCTTACTGGAAAAGTAGCTATAAACTTGTATTGTTATTCATTGTTACCAAATGGAGGTACTTTTTAGTTGTAAGCCTGAAATTAAAGTGCATTTAAATCGCAGATGTAGCCGATTTGTGCATTCTGAACGACTCTGAAGCATATAGCCTAACGATACTCTCTAAACATGAGATTAAGTACAAAGAAACATATTGTTCACGAAGCTAAAACATTTAAAATCCATTTTTTTTAAAGTCACAATTACTCACCTCCGTATTACTCCCAGCAACAGGCACGACATTTTCGGTGTGAAAATACTAATTTATAAAAAATGAAAGTGCAAAAAGGCACATTTAAGTTAGCAGCAGAGGGAACAGCAGCAGTGGGAACAGCAGCAGTGGTGGTTAGAGCTGGTCTCTGCTCATATCTGAGCTCGGAGGGGACCTTGCACTTTGTTCAACGTGGACATTCACACGGACAGACCTTGATGTAACCAGCGGACTGACTAGATGTCGTCCTGCTGCACGAACACTACTGATAACTTCCCGGAGTGTCCGCGAACGCCTCACTGCTTTCAAACGTGGAGAGCCGAAATATGTGCTCTGCTCAACTTTGAGGAGGTGGAGGCGCGCCTGCTTTCAAATTAAAAAAATGTAGTTTACTTCTTCGGAGGTTGTGTCCATGTTGTGGTAATTATACCTCCTGCAAACCACGAACTTATCAACCGGTTGCCCCTCCCGACTGACACAAGTCTCCAAAGAAGCACCGCGGAGCAGCACATACACACACCACCGCTAAAAAAAAAAAACAGCGTAGCGGGACATCCCGGAAGCACGAGACACGGTATGGAAATAGATCTCACTCGTACACTGACGCAACCCAATGGACATGTTACTGCAGCATGATAAGTTAACAACCCGTTTTGTTGTTTTGTGCAATCTACATTTACACTTATAAGTTAATGTTCTGGTTTTGTCATGTTGCCTTATATTTGTGCATGGTCTAGACCTGCAGTCCATTCACGGCCGGGCCTGGGATTTTGGGGACCCTAAACAAGATTTAGTTTGTGCACCCCACAACCCTCCTTGTTGTGTTTGAGCACACATGCTTAGTATGTTTATTTGTGGATTGACATAGCATCTTAACCTGCATATGATATACCATATTGATCAGGATGATGTTACGGTAACATACAAATTTCTCCCCGGGGATCAATAAAGTATTCTAATTCAAATTTTCAGTGTATTTTTAAGTTGTTTCAAGCCATTTATATGGTGGGTCTACTTATATCTCCATTATATCTCCATTATTCATATGCTGATTAGTTTTTTTGATTAACAGATTAATGATTCATTGATTAATGGAAAATCTCCCATACATTGTCCCAGAGCTCAATTTGCTTGTTTGCTTGACTGTTTGTAAAACAGTAAGAATCCTGAATATGTACACTTTATTATATCAACAAAGACAAAGGAAAGCAGCAAAACCTCACATTTGAGAAGCTTGAAGAAGTGATTATAAAATACTGTAGTTTCCAGTTGATTTTCTGTCAAACGATTAATCAACTATTGGTTTCAGCTCTAACAGCAAAAGACATTTTTAAAGAATCAACCTGAGCTGAACATCTTATCTTCCTTCACACCAAAAGAAACATGCACTTTTTGACATCATGTTACACAACGTTTCAGTTCTGGAGCTCAAATTTCAAGCAGTTCTCTTTTGCTCTCTTTGGAGAAGGCTGTAAAGAAGCCCACTGAGGTTTCAGTTAATCCTAATTATTCATTTTACAACTTTGATAAGCCTGGGTGAAACCGTTCTGACCTCCAGACGAGGAATACTCTTTAAATTACCAGTACATGGCGTCTGGTTTTTCAATTGGTAAGTTTCCTGTCCATGTTTCTCTCTCTGGGCACTGGGGGAGGGGCTGTGAGCAAGAGGGGAGTGAAGGGGTGGGGGCTGGACAGAGGAATACACCATAGATATGAGATAAAGAGAGAAACCTTAGCCCTTGTGTCTCATGTTCTCTGATAGGGCCTGCAGAGTCAGCAGCCAACCACAGATACTCCCAAAGCACATGGAGAACACACACACTCAGGCACACACATTCACAATGAATGAATGCCTACTTGCTATACAGCCACAACAGCAGTCCACGGTTATGAAAGGGAGCATTCAAAAATGCAGCAACTGGCAAAAACTACAAGAAGCCATTAAAAGCTGTGACATGCTTTAATCATTTAGCCATGTGGCATTAATGAGACCTTTATTTGATTTGAGTGTGCACAGGTGGGACTTCGGCCTTTAGAAATCGTATTTGTCCGTTAAAAGTCAGCTGATCTCATTTCTGTAGATATTTGAGGTTGTCTCATCCTATTAAAACGTTTCACCCTGGTTTTAAAGGCCAACAATCAAAATAACACACACACAAAAAGAAAGAACTTCATGCAAATGTGACAGAATAAATAAATATTATGATATAAATTGGGTAAAGTTTTGATGATATTTTCATCAGCCTCAAAGTTCAATCTGGTGTTAAGCTTACAAAAAGAAATGAACTTCTGAAAAAAGAGTGTATGACTGAACTCATTATCAATATTTCCCAGTCAATGATCTACTGATTAATCAAGCAATGTGATAATAACTCATGTTCAAGCCTCAGTGAACAGACAATGATTTGGATTTCTCTTTTTGACTGGTTTGCAATTAGAAACTGACCCTACCAGGGAATGAAGTAGTCTTAAGACTACCATATAGGATCAAATGCTGACTGTGACCATGTGTCCTTGAATGTAGGTTCCTTTCAGAATATTTTTTTGACATTTTCCCATCAGCTATATCCAAAGGTCATATTGGCTTTATTTGCAATTCTTAATCAGAGAGATGTGCAATGAAAGCTAGTTTGTACAAGCTGGACTGTGGCTTGCTGCAACTTTAGATCTTAATGAGGAATATTAATGAAGTTTTCTTCAGAAAGATGAAATTGCAGCAGAGAAACATTTACATTATATAGGACATTCATTTAGCAGCCTGTTTTGATTGCACAAAGTACATTATTCCCTTGAGAGGTATTTGCGTATTGAGATAATTTACATTTCAGTACAAGTCACAACGTTAATATGCCGATATTGTAACTGTGGAGGGGAGCTGTTGAAGTCTGTACAAGACGAGTGTATTTACTGACATGGTCACAAATCCTAAAGTTCTCCCCTTCTACCTCCTCCCATCTCTCCCGGCCCACTTTAGTTCAGATATACGACCTTTGTCCCCGGTATTTCTCAACAGCCTCCCTGAACGGAACAACACACTGCGCTGAGTTTAAATCACTCACTCAATCAAATCACAGAATCAATAACTAATGGTGCTGGCACCGTAAACAAGTGTGCCCTTTGCCCTTTGGATCCAAGTTCTACGTGCCTGATGGGTGATGTATTAATTGTGTCTCACTGTGTGGTACTGCACACTACAGATGTTCAGCCGGATATTAAAAAGATTTATGCAGAGGTCTATAAAAAGGAAACTACCATCAAGTCATCACCTATTTATCGGCCAAGTGATTCAATCTGTGTGGCGTCTATTCATCTCCTGACGTGATGGGTTTAACTGTTACAGTCTGAATCTGGTATAACACAGAGTATGTTGGCATAATGATGGCATGTAACAGTGCAGATGACTTTGGTAGTGTTTGTGTTTACGATAGGAGGCTCTGACGTCCTTTCTGCCCACTCAGGGATCCTGTATTTGTTTTAGGCTTTTAACCTGACTGGGTCATCACACTACTCCTGATGAAAGAGCACATGAACAACAGCAGATCTCTGGAATACTGGTCGCAATAGCAGACACACTTTGGCCTCAGGTTTATATTGATCAGTACCGAGATATAGTGGTGCTCTCCAGCTATTGGGATTGTTTGATTGCAAAGACCATGGATATTTGTCTTTATATTTATATGTTGTATCTTTTTGAATTACATCCATTTTTAATATATTTTACAGAGGAATCTTTGTGTCATTAAGGCTAATGGTTCATATACCCTTTTATATTAGCATATGATTTAGATTTTTGACATGACCTCACAGGTTTACCCCAATGCTGTTAATCATTATCTTTTTGTCTGTAGTTTGCCACAGAGCACTCACATTTACTCCACTTAGAACAGTAGCATCATCTAGTGGACACAGTCAGAACAGAAAAAAAGCTTTTCTTTAAGGCATTTATTTTACAGCTTTATATATATTCATTTTAATGTGTTATTATTTATTATTTTAAAAAAGAGAATAATTTAATTTCACTTCTTCATTGCCACCCCCATTCCTTATGGGAAATGCGGAAGCTTCCTTAAAAAACTAAATTCCCACAATGCAACAGGATCACCCGATATTGAAGAGGGGGGAAAGTACGGAACTGTCCAAGCGTACTTTCATTTTCGCTTTTTATGCTGAGTAACTGTGAGTATTGTCCCGTGTCGTGCACGGCATCGAATTACACAAATTTAAGAGCTTTGTTATTCTTTATCACGGAGTAGATAGAGTTTAAACGCATCAATAAACTATATCAAGTAACGTTTCATCAACAGAGACGACATGGCTTCTCTGGAACTTCGTCCCGACTCGAAGAAACAGGTGAGCAAAAACACGTCTGCTAGCACGATTTAAAAGTGCTGTTTGTAACGTTAACGACATTTTAAACCCACTTTCCCTTCAAACATGGCGGGTCAGTGATGCTGACAGGTGAGACGAGTCAGGTAAGTGGTTGCTCTGATAGCTAGACAGACAGCAGGGGGTCACGCGACATGAGCAGGTGGGGTTAGTTATCAGGTAATTAACGGGCTGTTAACACGTGTGAACAGCTGTTTCTGTGAATATCCTTCATGTAGCGACGGTGTCGGAGCATAGAGGAACGTAATCAGGACTAAATCACGTGATCTCTTCATTACAGGTGGATGACTTCTGCCAAAAATTCACCAAGGAGGTAATTTATCTAATATTCACAAATCTCTCCCAACCGTCCCATGTATTTATCTTCCTCATGTTATTAAATAATGTCGTTTTCTTTGCACAACAGGCAGAAGACTTGATATCCAAATTTTTCCCTCAGAAGATTGAGGAGCTGCAGGTTCTGTTGAAGGTATGTGACTATTAGCCGTACTGGAGACTTCCTGTTTTCCTCAGCAACAAAAGTTTTTTACAATGATGTTTTGGGACCAAATTCCCTCCCAATATTGATTGTTTTGAAAAACAGTTGTCAGAAACAGCAGGACATTTGTGTTTTCTGTCAGACATCTTTCAGCTATGACGACCTGGCATCCCTGAAGGCTCCGCTGGACATCCCGATACCTGACCCAGTGAAAGAGGAGGCCAAGCGCAAGAAGAAAGAGGAGGTAGGTCCCACGTGTCTGAAGTCCAAATACATCCAAGCATTTGCGTGTTCAGAAATCTCTGTTTGAGTACAGCAATTGTCACTACGTTGTTAAGAGGTAAACACTCAATTTCGAACACTTCAGAGGTCAAACGGAAATTAAACACCGGTGCCATATTATATAAATGTCATTGGCTTCACAAAAAGGAGTATTTAAGTATTTTATTTTCTTAACCATTGAATTTCTTCAGGAGCGCTGCATAAAGCCTCTCCACTGGGATCCTCAGTCAAGGGTTTATATAAAGCGCTACATTGGCTTTTATACCATAATCAGATAATATATTTTGTTTTAGTCTAGTACTGAAGAGAACACCCATTTAAGGGATAGAAGTATCCTGCAGGTGCTCCATGCAGCTCAGAACCATCATTGACTTAAATATAAAAGCAGAAAAGTCACTCAAGCGTCAGACATTTTTTCACCCTTACCAGTATCCCACATTTATACTGATCCCCCCCCCCCTTTATTATTGCTGTCATTTTTGCACACATTGATTTAGAGCAGGAAAAAGAGCAACGCTGCCAATGTCAATAGTTTAATGTGGAGGGAAAAAAGAGGTTGAAAGAATATTTGCGATCATACGGCAGCTCAGGGGATCAAACTCAAGGATGTTGGAGTGTGTTCAGAAGGAGCAGGCACCACTGCAACTAGGTTACATTTCTTCTACAAAGAAAAAAAAAACAAATCCAGCGTTTGACATCATTTAGCCACACAGAGAGAGAGGAAAAAAAGCATGTGGGAGAGCTGTCTAAGAGATTAATAGGCAGTGAAAACTCTCTGACCTGCTGCCTTCTGTTCCTCTGTTGCAGAAGGAGGGGAAGAAAGACAAGGACGACGATAAAGAGGATAAAGAGGATGAAGATTCAGGTAGAGACGATGAAGACGACGAGTGATTAATGAACATACTGCAGTGGTTGTCAAGCTCTCTACTACACAGTCACTAATAAACAAGAATATTTCTGATTTTTATTCCTCTTTGAATGCAGTTCTCTCTATTTGTTATGAGGTGAAGGTGTGCAGCTGACCAGAATATTCTGATATTGTGACTGAAAGTGAAACAATGTCTCCGGGTGTTTTTTTTTGGTCCACCAGGGCCTCCCTGTGGTCCCATCTGCACCAACGAGCGGGTGGAGATTCTACTGCAGCAGGTGAAGCCTCAGATCCAGACGCTGAAGGAGAAGCTCAACATGGTCAGTCGGTCTCTCAGCTTCATTTTATCTAAATGTGGTCGCTACCTTTGTACTCATCTAGTGCACAACATGTGTGAGGAATGTGCTTCTGTGTAACATAGTAATCACAGGAATAACCTTGAACACTATCCTCGGCAGGTGACAATGTGGGTGCAACTCCAAATCCCTAAAATTGAAGACGGTAACAACTTTGGAGTGGCTGTCCAGGTTGGTAGCCGGTGAATGATTCTCTTTAACAATGTTGTTGTTGTGTGAAGTGTATTGTTCGGTTTAATATCTTTGTTCGTCTGACAGGAGAAAGTGTTCGAGCTGCTGACCACCACGCGCACCAAGCTCGAGGGGTTCCAAACTCAGATTTCAAAGTAAGAGCCCACACCAACGCTGCCACCTTGTGATAGATTCGTTTTGTTTGAAAGGTAAACACAATACGCAGTCACAGCAACGCATCCACACGCACACAGCTGTTGTCAGTTGGCTGGTTGTAGCTCTGTTCAGTTGGCAGTCATGGTGGTAATTCGCAGAGATCATCAAACACCAGAAGCATCATATGTGTGTGTTAGTAGTTGAGCCCAAATAGCTGCAACAAAACACAAGTGTCAGACAGCTGTTTGCAAGTCACGGACTCCACACACATACAGTTGTGAAAAGAGATACAAGTAGGCATAATGACTGAAGACACCTTTGATAAGGACTACAGCACGTTGTCCGCTGACCAGCAATAGTCACAATCTGGCTTTAACCAAAATTGGACACTCACTGATATTAAAGATGATCAGACAGGAATATATCCTGTTGACTGTTATAAATGAATGACGAGTAACTTTCCTTCCGTGTGTGTGTGTTAGATATTACAGTGAGAGAGGTGATGCTGTGGCCAAAGCCTCCAAACAATCCCACGTGGTCAGTACCTCATGTTGTGAATGCGGTCAGACTGCTGCATTGGTGTGTGTGTGTGTGTGTGTGTGTGTGTGTGTGTGTGTGTGTGTGTG